AGGGTTGGTTTTCAGCCAAGAGGTCATTAACCCACGAACATCGTTTTCTATGACAAGTTCGAGCTATTGTGATAAATTGGAATTTTATTATGGTTTTATTCGTGCTTCACTCTTGATGTTACTTGGCTTTTGGTATGAAGCGCACATTTTTCTGCTTAATCTATTTTTCTTTCGTGCCTACATTGAACCTGCAAATAACGACATCCATACTGTCGAGTTTGATAGCTCCAGCAGCACTGATAAACCTTTGCCGTATTTACTGGTTAACTTCTTTAGGTAACGTTCAGTAGAAACGGTTCAAGCGGGTTTATTAGTTTCTAGTTCCTTCTTTTCGTACAAAAAAATTCATTATTGCATTCACTACCTTTGCTGATATGGCGCAAAACTCCTTGAAAATCATGCCGGATTTTTCTAATGCGAGTTTAATATTTTCATCTGCATCGGTTCTTGGTTATTTAATGGAGATAGCTGTTCACAAATTCACTTTACTGAATGGCTTTCCAGTGGTTCGTATTTTAAAGTAAACTGACCTTTTCGGCATGTGTTGAGAAACCGTGACGAACTTCTGTTTGCTGTAATTAGTGCTATAACTGTTGTGTGACGATTTTGTGCGTAATATATGAACGTAACCTCTGCATGCTTGTAGTCGTCATACAACAGTTACCTGTGTATGTATACATAACGATCGTTGTGTGATTGCTTGTCCTGAGAATAGCCAGTGCGGTTTAGATGAAGCGTCGGTGGTTAAATTAAAGAGTGCCACCCGTCTGTTTCTTTATGTTTAAAACCATTTAAATGACGTCTATAAAAAAATAGAATTGAAATGAGTTTCAGAAAACGTACGATAAGTATTGAAATTTCGTGTAGCTGTACATGATTACTGTTAGTGGACATGATTTTACAACTTATCTATGATATACAGTTACAAGGGAGAAAACATAACTATGTATTATATTTATCTGTATGTCTTAGCTGCCTTCAGATTAGGCAACAAAAATGTAGTAAGCCCAAAGACGCATCGACTTTTCCAACTGTCGAGAAATCATTCCACTGGCGTTGCAGAATGAAAGTATTATTGGACGACTGAGGAAATTTACTGATCGATCGCTACTAATTAACTAATCAGGTTTCCGAAGTTGGAATTCATGCATGGACAACATCTTTGTGCTAATAATGGTGTGTTATTCGTTACTACGTAATTTGACAGGGGATGGTAAACCTGATAGAAGGTCTAATGGGGACTCAGTACACTCTCCTAACTGGTTCAACATTATCAGTAAGATTTGTAAAGACGATATGATGTGGCGGACTATTCTGCAGGAAAGTACGTCGTCCGAAATAACAGCCAGATACTGGCCGTTAGCCTGTATGGTACGGCAGCTCAAGACATGACGGCGGTGTTTTTAACGGATCTTGAGTGTGCCGAAGACGGCGTGTCGCTGACCGATTGGCTCTGCAAATGGCCTACTGACACTCACTGTAAACGTGTACAACATCGCTGTAAAAGTGGGACTGCATGTGAATACGAAAAACATTCGCCTACCAAGAATGGCAGTCCAGGAATGTAATGGAGTAGCACTTAGATAAACGAAATTCTATCGGTACTGTGTTGCCCGATGACTGATGGTCGCTATATGGATCGTGAATCGAATCGGATTATTGGACTGGCATCAGTGAATTATGGTATGCTGTATAAAGTATGGAAGGATCAGATTGTAAGAATCGGCACGAAGCTTACCATTCTGAAAGCAGCTGAATTTCCCGTCATGCACAGTCTCCAAATATATACAGTCGTTAAATGTCATGAAGCTAGTTTAGATAGCTTACAGTAACTCGGTCTGCGCAGCATCCTCAAAGTGGCGGTGGTACCGCTGAATCACGATCTAGCAGATGCTAATGATTGTTCATCAGCTTGAGAAAATTGTTTGATGAACTATAAGAGACCGGTGTTTAACTTGGCTTAATAAAACGGCTCATAAAAAGAATGAGAATATATTCAAATTTTTTCTCGCACCGAGGGAGGACAATACAGAACGCTGAAAACCTCTTTCAGATAGACCTGATTCTGGAATTTAATAGGACGTTTGTCACAGCAATCAGCTTTGCTAATCTCAATCCGAAGTAACATTTCTAACGTCCAGACGTCATAAATCTGGGTTTCCCTGCTGTGTAAGTACCGTTCATTTTAGAGCGGTTGAGTGTGGTGTGCATTGCTTTATCGTTTAAGCGTATGCATTTGCGTAAACTTAGGCGGACAGAAGACAATGCGAAGGTTTTCGATTAGGAATAGGTTTAAGATAATATAGGGCAGCGCATTTGAGTTTGTATTTATTAGTTGTTAAACTAATTTCAATTTTAAAGGCCTGTCATGGTGCGTAGAAACTGTTGGCCAGAAAGACAGTAGTAACCGTACTTGACAGATCTGTTCATGTCGTTTAAGGCAGCTCTGCTTCAGAGGGCATTTCGATTAAAAGACTTGCGAAAGGATTTTAGGTCACCTGCCCGGAAAGGATACATGATCAATGATACGTGCTTAGTTTTAGGACACTATGGTGTTCTGATGTGATTATGATATTTAAACTTAGTCATGCTGTTGCACACCTTTAATATTTTTAAATGGTTTCACTGCACGTTAACTTTACTTGAAATCAGTTCGACCTTATAATATTCTATAAGCAATAAAAATGTAGAACTTGCACCTTGACAGATAATTTCGATAATAAATAGTGTTATTAGTCGCCGTTTGGATAAGTTTAATTGCTTTTACTATTGTACATATATTCAGGCCTGTTTCCGAGTAATATTTTCATTGTTACAGTTGCAGGTAAATCCAGACAAAGCAGGTTTGCGAACGCTATAGGAGAATTTTTTGCTGTGACACCTGGGTTGGACCATCGTCGAGCATTGTGATTCCTGACTTCTCAAAGATTCTAAAAGAAGATGAGCGTTTCAACGAAGCGCAAATATGTTATTCACGAGCTACAAGAGGATATGGTGCTGCCCGAGCCCCCTCTGTTTATCGTCAAGATCGTAGGCAGCCGCGGCAACAACCTTCACGAAGTGAGCACAGCTTCTAGTGAAAAATTCCTGGCCAGTATGCCGACCAAATTCCGCAAGAATGTGTGGATAAAGCGTGGCGACTACGTGATTTGCCAGCCGATCGCTGAGGGGGACAAGGTGAAAGCGGAAATTGTGCATATACTTTACCGAGACAATATCAGGTACATCCAGCAGCACAGTCTCTGGCCGGAATCGTTCGAGACTCCCTGGACCGCATCGCGCAGGGATACTGTTGATATGTTGCCCGCTACATTTTCGGAAGACTCGGACTCGCAGTCAGACGAAGAACTCAACGAGGCGAGTGAGAAGGGCGAGTCCGCCGCCGATGCAGTTAGTACCTCAGATCGACCTTTCGTTTGCCAAAATAATAGATGATGTTTTAAATGTATGTTATGTTATTACTATGGAATAAAATGCTAACTCTATGTAATGATTTACTTGCGAAATATTTTTTTTGATAATACTTTAATTGCCCTATTTTTAATTGTATTTTAATTATTACTGTACCGTCGGCATTAGTTCATAGCTTTATGGCGCTACGACTTTTCACCCGTACTTGGATTACCATTTCGAAGGCATTCATTTCAAACAGTGCTTCAAGAGGCTGGACTTCCGGCATCGAGCATTCTGACGCGCTCTCTAAGCTAGGTAAGTTGCTCTCTGTCTGTGAGTTTGATGACTCCGTCGATAAAAGAAGGTTTTATAATGCAGCATATAATATCCCTGAAGTGGACAAAGTTTTGTTGAATTTGCCAGCTCTGTTAAGCAAAAAAATTAACTCCCAACTCTGGCGGTTGTTACGTTCAGGATAGTAAGCGATCAGCGAATTACAAGAAGAAGTAAAAACGGCCAAAAACGCCCACATGGCCTGAACTTGTCAAGCACTTGCGTATCAACACTGCATCAACTATAAATCATCATTTTGGTTTAAAATGATTGGCATATCCAGTCGAATGTTGGTCCTGATGTATATTGTTTTAAATCCTTTGTCGATGTTTTTTGCAGTGACCGAATTCTTCGAGCATGCATGTTTGATTATTTTGTTGCTTCCTTTGGAGGATAGACATTAACCACAGTGGCCAGCATATGATCGGAAAACAATTTAGACGTCTGCAGCCTGACTTGAAATCAGTCAATTTTGATGATCACTTATCATTTCGGGTCGTGGAGGCGTCAGACAGTCTCTCGAACGTTCCTGATCTTCTGCGAACGTTTCAGTTTCGGAGGAATATTGCTTGAGTCCGGATCAGAGTGAATTGTGACGTTGACGGGTCATTCTTGGCCGTTTACATTTTGTTCAGCACGTCGGTTGAGCAAATAGCAGTCGTTTCGCCCTTCTTTCTGAAATCATTCGTGAAACGTACCACAACCATCGCAGCTGTGACTTTTCAGCTTGGCATTTGAGATCACCGATTTGCCCCAGAATGACAATTTCCGCCACTTTTACTTAGACTCGAAGTTTTTAAGTCATGGCCTATGAATTATGACTGTACGTGAACATCGAGATGAAAATCGACTTGAACACTGGTAGCTCAGTCGTCAGGCTCAGATCTGATTTAGTCAAAACGGTTAAAGCTAGCAGGGTGCCTGGTCGTTCCAGTTCATTTCACTGGTGAATCTCTTAAAACTCTAAACCATGTCATATAAATTTTTCCTAGTATTTCATTCTGCTTCTAATTTCATATATTTTATTTGGTGCCTACCTTCTACCTTTGGCCGCTGATAAGTGGGAAGCTGATTTCACCCAAACGTTTGCTCCCACGATTCTCATCTTAAGCGTTCGCCGAAAGAGCACCGGTAAAATAAGAGGTCATAATGGAGTGCCAAATAGAAAAGATTGTCTCCGACAAAAATTTGCCATTTCAGCCTTGAACATAGAAAGATCACGGATTCAATTTAAATACTGGATAGTAGTATCTTTGAATTGAGAAGAAAAGTTGGATAAGCCTAATGAATGTTAAACAGCCAGCGGCTTTGCAGAACGACTGAAACAGATTGTCACAAAACAACTAAATAAATGCTGCCGTTGATTCGTGAGAATTAAAAATTTAAAAAATTTAGGCAAAGTTTTAATGCATTATCAGTACTAAATTAAGCAACAGAAAAGTAAATGGAAAGCCTGTCCTGTAGTTGTATTTCTGTTGCTTTACTGTTCTACTTTTGCTTCCTTACCAAATCGATACCACGAGTGGGAACTGAACAACATTATAACGATGCCAAGCGATCCGTTTTGTTGCTAAGCTGGCTTCGTTTCCTCTTCGTTTATTCTAGTAACGATATTTCTAAACTATGCGCATATGGTGGAAACTTGCATTCGTTTTATGTTTAGATAAAAATTGATTATTAAAACGTAAATTTTAAATTTTTGAATTCTTTGCCGTTCCATTAGGGAAGACGCATAAGATTGCTGCTTCGAAGTACAAATGTCAAGAATATTATAATTACAACGAATGGAGCTTCTATGACTTGGAAATGGATTTGACGAAGTATCGTCTTCCACAGCCGAATCCGAAGATTCCCGACTCGCCGCGAGACACGAGTCCGAGTCCAACACAAAGTAAATAAGCAAACGGGATTGCCGGAAATGGTATTTTCGATGATCTTTCATTGATGACTTTTTTCTTTCAATTACTGTTTTTTGCTTTAAAAGCTTCCGTCACATTAATCAGTATTTTTGATCGTAGTAGTGAAGAATGTTTAACATATGCCTTTTGATGTTTTGTTAGTTCACATATATTTGCATTGCACGAATGACGTTCGGCGTTGTATTTTTATTTTAAAGATGAAAATTTTCAAAGATTCAAACTTCTAAAGCAAATACTATGTTGAAGATTTCAGCGTAACATCTAAGCTTGAAAGATTATCATAGATCTGAAATCTGGTGTTTGAATAGTTATGCACTCTCAAATACTGATATTTTTGCGGTATATGTGAGGAGTACCAGCTACTGAAACATCATTCATAATGAGAGCGAGGTGGCTCCAGCGAACAAAATGATTCGAGATGCATCTGCTACTGCTAGTGCTCAAATATCATGGAGTCCTGACCTGCTTAACTGGTCCCTTAGGCAACTAAGAGTTAGAGGGAGGTGCAGTAAGTCGTGAAATCTTGTCTTCGAGAGATTATGCATAGACCTGAAATATCTAAATAGTTACTTGTCAAACATCTGTGATTAAGTGCGTAGCTGCATGAAGGCCAAATTTCATCTCACAATTCGTCTGCCCTTGCTATTACATGTGTAGGGAAGTATTCGAGGATTTAAGGACGTGGTTTAGATCCATCAAATACTTTTTTTGGCTACAGAATTGCTTTGATACCGCTAATTCATGTCCTATGGGCTAAGAAAAAAGTGTCTCCGTTGCGACACTTTTGCTTCTAAGAACTTTGCAAATGACAGATGAACGCCTTGTGTGCATTGACATTAATTTATTACATCTATATCCGTGACCTATCACATTTTGTGACAGAGAGTACGAAATTTCACTCGTCACAGTAGATACGTCACGAATTCTCAAAACCTGGAGCAACTTTCTCACATAAACGTGGCAAATTTTGCTTTGAAATTCTAAAGGGATTAGAGAAATATTTGATTTTTCGCATGGTAAATTTGGATAAATAAACTAGTATATGATCAGTTTGTCATGTAAGTGTTTTGTTTCGAATCGAACCGGATGAGACTGTCTATTCTATTTCAAGGAATATCGCACAGTACTGCAGTGCATAACAACACTGAAAGGTATTGTTCTCGAATTTCGTTTTTTGGCATCGCCGATTTTAATTTCGTGTTGACATACTAGCCGTTCTTTTACAGAAAACTGTTAGATAGCACTTAAGCACTGCGTTCTAAAATTAGATTAAGTTCTTGATTTTGTATGTAAACTCCTGAGTGTTTTGAAAAGGCGCCATGTTTCGTGTTCTTCAGGTGCTAGGCGAGATTAAAAGTTTCAGTATTTATTCCAGTTAAATTCACCAACGCTCAATTGTCAACAGCTTTGACACGGCTGACTCTTCCACTATGGCGAAAAATGATCGCCTGCGATCTGTGCAAACGACAAATTACAGCGAAATACTGATCCCTGAAAATCAAATATTCCCTTTTTACTGCAGTTGTACCATACATGGCTCGTGATATGTCGTTTTCTGTGATACAGTACGACGTTTCATGTGATTCGGTAAATACAGAATGACTGCAATGTACTAAATTCTCAGATGCATCGGTATAAAACACGTGGACGTGCTACACGCGAGACTGTTTCGAACATTAAGGTGAACTAACTTAGCGGTAGTTTGTTTTCACCATGACATGTATGACTTAATGTTTCATTGATTCATTTGTAACGTTTCATTCGGTCGGTTTCCCATCTTCGTTTTCATCTGTTATCGTCGTTGTGGCATAATGTGTCTTCCTCTTGCCTACAAAGTTACGGTGCAGCAGCGCAAGTGCCTGCTAACGACTAGTCCTGAATGGCGTAGAGTATATGGAGCAGATATACTTCTGGATGGATGGAGACTCTGTTGCAGAGTGGAGTAGATTAACATAGCTGTAATATGTTTGCATCGTGATATGTTCATGCTCCATGATTTTTGCTTCACTTC